ACACACACGCACGCACACACACACACACACACAAGTGGACGCCTTGTGATTATACTAGTCAGCTTCCCATCTGACACAAAATGGCGGGCACGGCAGAGCGGTGAGGGACATTTTGGGGACAAGAGCCAAGACAACATGCAGGAATAAACAACACACACACACACACACACACACAGACACACACACACACACACACACACGTTATTTGTTGTTATTTTAATAATTAACTTCGACCAACCGACAGTCTGTGTGTGCGTGCATGTGTGTGTGTGTGTGTGTGCACACGTGTGTGTGCACGCGTGTGTGTGTGTGTGTGTGTGTGAATATGAGACTATCTCTGGCTGGTTTTCTTTAGCATGAACACTGAAGTTGTTCCTAAAAGTCAGTCACAGATTTCAGACTGAAATAAGTTTCAAACATTTTAATATTTAACATGATTTTACTGATGTCATAACAACAACAACAACAACAACAACAATAATAATAATAGTAATTAAAAAAAAAATCCCTGTCTACATTAATTTATTATTGGTGAAATCCAATAACAAAGCATGATGAAGAATTCCTGGTGTCGTGTTTTACATCCCATCCATGTTGTAGCTGCAGATGAATGCCCCCCCCACCACCCCACCCCATCCCATGACATCCTCTGCCAAGACAGCTTTAACACTGCTAATCTGGGCAGCATGCGAACACACACACACACACACACACGCACACACACACACACACACACACACACTCAGCACCGTTTCACACTGGGGGAGATGAGGTCAGTAAAGGATTTGATATTTATATTTGAATTTATTTATTTTTAATGACTGTAATTTAAATTTTGATTCAGATATTTAGATTTAGATACATGTATAGGCTTTAAGAATGCATTAAATATATGTGTGTATGTACACACATACACACACACACACACACACACACACACACACACACATACTTCTTGTTTTTTTAACTAAACTGAATCAATAATTTCTACTTCATCCTTATATGTTTGGTGCCATTTTAATGCTTGAAGGTTTTCCCTCCTAATCCAGACGAAGACGTGATCCCGTCGGTCCGGTTGGATCAGGAACATAACAGGATGCTACGATCGTTCAGAACACAATGAGCCGTTCTGAATATCTCTTCCTGTTTCAACCAAACACAAAGTCTTCAGAGGAAGAGAAGCTAAACAAAAAACGTGTTTTCCAGTTTGATGTGAGGAAAATGACCTCAGCACTGCTGGGATTAACAGGTTTCATCCCAGAACACCAGAGCTGGGCTGGAAGCTCCCAGACTACAGGACCCTGTCTGCAGATGCATGGAGCCTTTCGGGGTCTGAGGGGTTCCTGCTGTTCCCGGGGTGGTCTGAAGGGGGCAGTATGGCTCATTAAACTGTCTCTCTGCACTCTCCTCCATCCGCCGCCCACTGGGGACTGCCGGCTCTCCTACTGTGCCTTCTGCAAGACCTGGCTTAATTTAATTAACACAGTCTACTTTAAACAAAACCACATCTGAGTCGGGGGGGCCAGGAAGTAGCCGCAGATCTCCGAGGAGGACTCAGGGTCTGACACCACCCCACCTCTGAAAACTTTGGCTTCAAAAACATTAAAAAATCTGAAAAGAACTAAATACCAGATATCCACATCTGTGGATTCCCAAAAGAACACAAACAAGTGATTTTCTGATGAAAATTAAACTTTAGGATTTGCAGAAAAACAAACTCTACATCTTTAAGTTGTCCATTTCTGTTCAATAAGACAATTAAAGATGTACCTATCTATTTAGATGACAAGTTATTTATTACTTATTCAATATGAATGGATGTGTGTCATTTGAAGAAAGAATAGCAACAACCTTCAGCAAACACAATTAATCAGTTCATCTCTATTTCCTTTAATGACTTCATTTTCCTGGTTTCATTATCGTCATTTTGGGGGGAAAATTCTGACATTGATATGATTGTTTGATTGTTTATTCATCCAACATTAGCAAAGCTCTGAGGACACACTGCAGACTTTAACAGCCCGGACGACAAATTAACTAAAACAATGATATCTTAAAAAAAAAACAAAAAAACACAGGAGTGAGACGGCACGCTGCAACCTGCTAATGTTAGCAGTTGACGCCTAATTTTCTTTTGATTACAAAGACGTCCCACGCTCTCCTCTCAAGTGACGTTTAATTGTTTCTCAAAGTAAATCATCAGCTCAGCAAACTAATTTTGAGAAACAACAATAAAAATGTGCAGCAAAGAGGGGAATAAAGAATTAATGAAATGATAAAGATGTTTGGTCTGGAGTTGACGTGAAAAAGAGATTAGGCCTAAATATAATTAATGTGACTTTTTGTGTATAATGGAGCAAACAGGAAGAGAAAATCATGAAACTACTTTTGTGCAAATGGGCAAAAAAGCACAAAAATCCAAATCCTAATTTAACAAACACGACATTTATGAGTTAATTACGGCAAGACCTAAAATCACAGTACAGCACAAATACACACTCAGAAAATATTAGATGGGGTTTTCTATTAAAATAATTTGTTTCAGCTTTTTTGCCAGAAAAACAAGTTAAGTATTTTAACACATTAATTCAACCATAAACATTACTTTTATTCTGAAAAACCAGTAAAACGGTTGAAGCTAGTTGGCAAACATCAAGCTCAGAGCACACCTAGTAAATACGAACTTGGTTTAAATGGAGTAGAAAAACCTAAAAGTGTCTCAGTTTTAAGAGAAACGATCAGAAACCAGAAACCACACGGATGCCAGCTAGCTAACAACGGCTAAATGAGCTAGTAGAAAGGGAAACCAGAGATTATCCGCTCGTTAGTGACTTATTCAAGACAGAAATGTGCAAAACTTGTGAATTTTCAGTTGGAATAGCTCAGATTTTGTACTCAAGACACTTTGACGATTGTAAAAATTTGCAACGTTAGCATGGAAATCAGTTTAGTCACAGTCTTCAATTGTTCTATTTATGATTCGATCCCATCCTCCGACCAGAGTTCTCACATTTCTCTAACTGTCCAACTCACAGAAGCTAAACTGAGATTGTTTCCATACATTTATAAAGAATATGCAACTTTTGCCATAGAGAATGGTGAATGAAAAGCAGTCAAAACTCCATTTACAGGTTATTCATACAGGATTCTATCGGGATTTTCATAGAATAATTGGGATTTAATAAGCTAAACTTCCCCAGCAACAGATAAATGTCACATTTGATTCACAGCTCGAGGTCAGCGAGGATCAGATTAAGGGACATTTAGGAGTGTGGAGCTGATTTAAGAGGACTTTAACTTGGCTCAGACTAGCCGTTAGCTTATCAGTCCGGGGGATATGAACTACTCATCTGAGTAGAGGTTGTACACAAAAACACGTTAAAACGTTGGTCAAATGCTGAAGGAGTTTTCAGTTTGATGTTTGCAGGTGATTTGTCCATATTTAACCCAATTTATTTTAAACTTTGAATAAACTGATATGTTAGTAATATTTGCAACTTTTAGACAAAAACCTTAAAATAGCCTAAATATCCTTTTAAAGACACATGAAAATAAAGGGTAGAATATTCTGCAAATCAAGATATTTTGTTTCAAAATGAAAAGAGAAGAATCTGTACCAGCTTCCCTTTCAGGATTAATCCCAAACGTTTCTCACACACAGCTGAAATTTAACGGAGACGGTTTGGATCAAAACCCAAATCATTGCTCAGAAAAAAACTTTCGATGTTTCACATGTGCTAATAAGAAACTTGGGGTAATTTCTCACAATACCTTTGATTTGAACAGTAATAGAAATTAAAAACGGGGTTATTTCCGAGTCCATCTGAGGGGGCCCTCATCCGGACCTGTACACAGCCTGAATCTTTCTGCTGCTGTTGGACATTTTGTCTCACCGTTCCACTCAACACCAACTACACATAATCGGCAGAACCTAAAGCAAATCTTTTTATCCCTAAACGCATTCCTGGTTCCCATTTTGTCCTGCTTCCTCCTTCGCCCTCTTTTCCTCGACCGCTGTCGACACAGAGAGGAGGAGGAGGAGGAGGAAGAGCAGGAAGTGGGGAGACAAAGCAGGTTGAGGCCACGGAAAGACGGACTCCTGCAGAGCCAAAGAGGCGTCAAACACGTTGTACATTCATCCATCGTTAACTGGTCATTAATAAGTTCACCACTGTAGCCCACCCCCGATCAGATATAGATCCTCGGACGGACGCCGCAGCATGACATTTTAAAAATGACCATAAAACCATTCAAACAGAAAAGCTAAACAGATTATTCTAGCAAAAACAAAGTGGAGGGAACAGCAAATCAGTCAAAACAGAGGCCAATCGGCTGCTGCCTTCTGGAGTTTAGCCGACAGTCGAGCGTCAGGATTCACAACCAATCAGAACACGAAGCTCTCAGATCACACCTGTACTGCTTCCTCTACAAACACCAGCGTCTGGCCCTGCTCTGGTAGGATTAATCTGATTAGAATCCTAAAAAACCCAAATAATCCTGATATTATTTTAATCCTGACATGATACTTCATCATCATCCACGTACCGTCCTCTCTTAGAAAACAGCCAACATTAGCAGTTCAGTTACTGATGAATGAATCTGAAGCTGAGGCGCACGTCTGCGTCGCTAAAAAACAAGATAGTCATTTACAAAATGGAGATTAAGATCCCACAAATAACCACTTTTGTTCTTACAGGATTCCTAGGATGTTTCTTCTAACACTGAGTTTTTTAAAATTCAAACTCTTTCCATGAAAACAACCAACAAACAAAAAAGTCACCAGCTGTTTTCATCCAACCCAACATCATCTTCACCTCCGCAGATAAACAAAAGCAGGGTGGCGCTTCCTCGACACTTTTATGTTGTTTTTTTTATTCTTCTGTCACGGAAACAGACTGTGATCCCAGATATTAATATCAGCACCTTTTTTCTTCACACTCAAAGCAGCAATAATAATAATAATAACGATAAATTAAATAAACACAAAAGGTATCACTTACTGAGGACGGCAAGCCGGGAGGGACTTTCCGCACTTTTTTTGTGTGGATGTCTGTAAGAGAGAAAAACAATTAAAACAATCGGCGAGGGTTTAACAGGCCAAGATGCTTTTATTTCAGCTGCTTGTTTGATTTCCCTGGATTTAATGGAGGCCACGTTTTGTCACCACATCAGCATTCCGACAAAGGAGCTTTCACTGAAAACAGGCGGAACGCAACACGACACGAAAAGGACGTTTTTTAATCGACAAGCATTAAAAAGGGCAGCTTTTGAAATGTTTATATGGTTTTTCAGGGTTTCATCTCAGGGGCAGTTTTCTATTAACACGAAAAATGAGACCGAAGGAAAGGAACGACAGCACGTCTTCTTTTTTATATTGGAAACGGGCCCAGAGATACTCGGTGTGTGTTTGTGTCCCTTCAGCGCTCAAACAACCATATTTTACATAATTTATCTTCAATGTGGGAACTAATATATGTGTTTGAGACAATTCTCTCAACATATTTATATCTGGGACTCTCACTGAGACAAAGAGGATTTTAATGACCACGTTTTACCACCTCGGTGATCAAACATCCATTTTATGGGTTTTCAATAAGTTCAGGACCATTTTAAAACCCAACCAAATTAAAACATTAAATAAATAAATAAATTTCATCCAAACTTTGTCTCCTGTAAAAACCAAACAAAAAAGTTTTTTTCATTATCAAACTCAGTTTAGTATAATCTGATAATGTGTGATTTAGGAACCAATTAAGACAAAAATCTAATGAAATTACAAATTTGTTAAACTTTGTATAATCTCTTGCATAATCTTAATAGTCTCTCATGAAGAAACAAAGAGGGTTTACTGATCAGCTTATCCCCTTGACTGGACGGGGTTTACCGGTATCCGGTTTAATGACTAAACTCCGGTCTCCGGTGGATTGATCTGATTTACCCACCTCTTAAACACCCAGAAGTCTAAAGAGGAAATACTTTTCCTAAATTTTGACTGAAAGTTTGGTTAGATGCAGAAGAAAACAGCATGTAAACCAAACCCCAGGGTGAAAGTTTCAGTCACGGAGTGGACGAATAATTCTGGGTAAATACCACTGAGAACATCGAGATCATTAACTCTTTGTTTTTAAACTCAACTCTTGAAAAGTTTAATGTTTTGAGATTAAATGCCACAAACAGCAGCAGCGCCTCTAAAATACGTTTAATACATTAAATCTGCTTTCAGTATTAACGAGTTTATTTAGCCGTTTAATGAAATCTAAACTTAATGTCATTTATTCCATCATTTATTTGTGTTAAAACGTATTTATTCCTGTATTCTAGATTTTATTTTGAAGAAAAGACATTGATCAATGACCATCAATAGAAACAAATATTCAATATCTGTGTTTAATAAATTTGTTAGCTTCAGCTTGACTAAAAACAACAAATGTTACACTATTTATTCAGGTATTGTTTTTAGGCTTTTTGAAGCAGTTTTAATGAAAATACGGAATACCTGGAATGACTTTTCTAACACCTGTAAATACTTTCTACACCTCCATTTTCTGGACCCGCAGAAGGACCCCCAACCCCAACTTTAACAACCACTGATTGTAGATATTGGGACTTCTCACCGATGGCGTCCATATGCAGCGCTCTCCTCCGAGGATTGGACCCGTAGTGCTGGTAGTACTGACCTGCCGGTTTGGTGGGCGACGCCGCGCCGGGACTCCCCAAACCCAACTCGCCTCCCAGTACCGACTGGTTGAAATTCACCAGAACATGGAAAGGAAAGAATAACGGAACATTAATCTGACGAAGACCCAACCACCTTCAGAGCTAAACAAAATTGGAGTGAAGAGAAGAACGTCACTTTTACTTTGAAACATTTGGAAGTTCTTGCGTTTTTTCTTTAGGAAATTCTAGTTTACATTCAAAAACCAAAACTTCCTAAAGCAGAAATGAGACTTTTTCAGAAAAAATCAGGTAACTTTGGTAGTAATTAGCAGGCAATTTGTTAACAAACAAACCAAGAAGTTTAATCGTTTAATTTGGAGTATTTTTAAAAAGACTCAATGGACCACAATGGGAAGGCTCACTGACCCAGAGCCAACCGAGTCAGGGACAGATTTATAACTAGAGCGAGTAGCGCTACATCACAGCCTCTTTAGAAGTGTTACGCTGCTCCAGGTTCTGAAACGGGACAAACACACGCAATCTTTTCAGCTTTCAGACGGACCTGAGAGGTGAAAATATGAAAATGTTACACATTAAGCCACTTTCTTCAGTTCCTGTGTCGAATCTTAAAAACTAATCCAGACCGGATGAGATACTGGGGAACGTCTTTTAATGATTGTTTTAATGTTATTTGTCCACAGAGAAACTCAGCCTGTATTTATTCAAACAATCAAATTTCCAGGAGAAAAATTGGATCAAAAATGTACCCAAAAGAAGATCTTTACTGCTTAAAATATTTATTTCAAATATTTCTATAAGATGCACATTTTAAATTATTGTTTTCTTTTGTTCTGTGAACAAAACATTTCTGAATATTTTCAGTAAACATTGTTTTGTCTTGTTTCATTAATCATATTTTTACTGTTTCACTAAACCAGAGCAACTCATTTGAAACCATTTACCTTTACAGTCATGTTCATTTAAAAAATTTACTTTCACCAAAGTAGAAACTGATTTCTTATATTTTTATAAGTATTCTGTAAGCTTGAGTATCTAAAAAAATGAAATAAACACATTTCTAAACACAACATAAAAATTGAGAACTAGAAATGAGCAAGCAGGTCTAGATGTCACCCAACACACATGTGAAACAGCAGAACTTAGCAGAACCTCAGGCCCGTTATAAAACCCGATCCTACCAGCTGACAGGTGAGATGGTATTTACCTCCATGAGAGCGAGGTCATGTTGCTCGGCGTGGAGACGTTCATCCCACAGCTCAGTCTAACTTCTCTGTGCCGCCGTTTTCCCCTCACAACCTCTAAAGCCTCGACTCTGTTTACGGCTCAGACTTTGCAAAGCGCTCACACATTGTCCTGCTAATTAAGTTCAATGGTTTCAGCAGCAACAAGTGGCATCTGGGCCGATTCAGAATGAACAGAACCCAAGAAGAAATTAACAGAAGGGTGGAGGACGGGGAGCTCGTTCTTTTTTTATTTTTTATAAGCTGCACAAAAAAGTTTGGTGAGGAGAAAAGAGGTGAAAGAGAACCTGCACGCCCCTCCCCCACCTCCTTTAAATAGACTCCACCATCACTCCCTTAAAGCCTGCACTTTTCCCAGATTCTCGTTAAGTAATTAGTGCACGGTGTGTTTTAGGCGGAGGAGCGTGTTAGCAGTGGGGGTGAGGGATCGTTTTTCTGGCCTAATCTGAATTCTCATCAGCGAGTTTGTCCTCTCTGTGGTTGAAAACAAAAGTTAGCTTGGCACTGCTAGGCCAAGGAGACTTTTCTCATGCTAAACAGGGCCTAAGTAGGCCAATTACAGGGCCAGCCTCGGTCTCAGGGCCGTTCTCTGGACTAAAACAAAAGAGCCCTTGTCTTAAATAAAGTCAGTCTCACACACTGAGAGGGAGTCAGACACAAAGGCACACAGTCACACACGATTTCAGTTATCCTGTTCTTCTGTCCCGGCAGGTTTCGGTGTGTGTGTGTGTGTGTGTGTGTGTGTGTGTGTGTGTGTGTGTGTGTGTGTGTGTGTTTCGTTGGGGGCTAAAAGGAGGTTCCCACTAAAACAAAAAGGGTCTCATTGATTGTGGTCGTTTTTCTTTCTCCTCTTTTCTTTCCCAGACTTGAGCATCAGGCCAGAACAGCCGGTCTCCCCGGCAACTAGACAAGCTGGAGGAGAAGGAGAATGGTCGTCTGCTGGTACGGTCTGGGCCTTGGTACCTGTTTGTCTTGTTGTCTGTAATTTCATCATAAATACTGTCCATTTATCAACAAACCAGTCCTAAACCCCCACCTCCATAAGATGACGTCACTCACCTGAGACGCTCAAACAACAATCTGTGACTTTTTTTCTAAAACAATTTCAGTGATGGAGCTGATGAAGACTCTGGTGAAACGTGGGTATGAGACACACACACACACACACACACACACACACACACACACACACACACACACACACACACACACACACACACACACACACACACACACACACACACACACACCATGTTTTAGGTTTTACTTAGAGAGAGATTGATCAGTGTACTCATACAGCTGTTTTGCTCAACAACCACACGTTGAAGGTACGAACACACCAGCTCCGCACAGAACTACAGCAGCGTTAGTACCGACTGGTTGAAATTCACCAGAACTGTCTTCTTTAAAAATGTGGATGAAAAGGAAATGGTCTGCTTTTGTACAGCGCCTCCTAAAACCCCCCAAGGTGCTTTACAACACAATCAGTCATTCACACACTGATGATGATGAAGAGCTAGCCACAGCTGCCCTGGGGCGCCACCAGTCCCTCCAGCCACCACCAACAGGTTAGGTGGGTTAAGCGTCTGGCTCAAGGACACAACAACTGCGGCAGACTGAATGGGACTCGATCACACATCCATTTGGTTATGAGACATGAGACGCTTTGGGAGCAAAATGGTTTTTGCAACAGTTGTTTGACTTATTTGTCCATTTTATTTAAAATGGTGAAATGATAAAATAATTATAATCTCTTTAAATGTACCAGACAGGAAATGGTTCATAGCCATAAAAGATATGTCCAATTTTTACTTCAGCTTATTTTATTCGACATTTTGATGAATTTTATCCAATCTGTTGTCTATTTCAAAAGGTTTTGGGTTCCTGAGGGTTAAGTACACAACTCGGTGATGTTCAAAAGCAAATAAAACCCTTCTTAACTGATGCTACATAGTTAGCGTAGCTGCGTTTTTATTATGCAGTGGCTTTTATTGGTGCTAATTTATATGGTGCTAGCTATGCTACAAATAAAGCTTAGTTCCTGTATTTGTACACCTGACGTTACTTTGATGTCAGCTATGCAGCACAGCATAACACCAGGTTGGAACTTTCCATTTTGTAGTTAGCATCTAGCCACAGAAGCGTTAGCTGTTACGTGTTTTGTAAGTATTTCATACTAAAATGCAGTTGGGTTTTAATTTAAATATTAAGCTTGGTTGTTGTCTGTAGCGTAGGACAGGCCATGCAATGCCAGAGGTCACCAAAACGGTCCTCTGTCCACAGCCAGCTCCACCTCTGGCTTTCCCAAACCAAAACCAGGGCTCTGCTTACCATCTCTAGCCTTGCCACCACCCAACAAACAATGGTCCAACGCCGACGCGGTGTCCACGTCCAAAAATGGTTGCGGTAGCACGGCCCGAATTTGTAAAAAAAAAAAATAACTGAACACGTCTTAAAAATCCATTCAGATACATTTTTACATGCCTACAGTTATATGTATAATTGTTATTTTGACAATTAGTTATGTATAGTTCAACATAGCATCCCAGCAAATATTGGTCCGACGGCAATGTCGTGCCCACGGCCAAAAATAGTTGCGGTAGGACGGTCCAAATTTTAAAAAGAATTGAACGTAACATTTCCTAAAATACCATTCAGATTTGTAGTTACATGTATAATTGTTACGTTGACAATAACTTACGTATAGTTCAACACATGGCGTGTCATGAATCAGCTGTAGGTAAAAATCTACTATTTGTCATTTCTTAAATATCAACAGGATAGCTCAACTGGTTAGTCATCTGACTTACACCCTAGAAGACCTGGGTTCAAGTCCAGGCTGGGATAGGTCAATTGGTAAAGCAAGGTTGGACACAGGAAATATTCTATTTATTATTAAATGTAAAAACTACATTTTATTTTACAGTGTAGATGAAATGTACACTGACAGTCATTAAACGTCCGAATGAGACGTGCCGAAGGACGTGTAATTCACGTCCAGAAAAGACGTTGGTTCAACGTTCATTTAGGAACTATTTTTCAACCATGACGGGACGTGTCGGCCCGACGTCTTTTCAACGTTGATTAAACGTCCGAATGTTTGCTGGGCAGGAGGTATCATAACTAAGACGAGGTCCTCCACAAGACTTCTGGAACTTTAACTAATAAAGAATCTTATTTTGTCTCATACAGTGATTTTAACACTTTACAGGTTGATTACAATTACATTAATCTTTTATCTAAAGTTATTTATTAAGACTTGATAACCTGGCCATAATGACTGAACCAACATAACCGTTTATTGTTGAAATGCCTTATTTCAGATCCTAAATACACCAAACGAATCTACTTGATGATTTAATAATGATTTTATTATCAGTCGTGTAACATATCGTTAAAGTACATTAACACATGACTGTTATATCAGATTTACTTCACATATTAAGTGAAATAAGTATTAACTATTAGGTGAAATAAGCCTTTTCCAAGTTTCTGGGAAAAGAGGTGACGTCTGAGAACTTTGTTAACACCTCTTAACACTTCCTGGCTTCTGATTGGTCCAAAACTTTAAACATTTAAAAGATCAGTCACTTCCTCTAAAATTCCGTTCATGCAAGCTGTTCCAGCCTTCATGCTAAATTAATCTCTCGTTGGGGGGATTAGACCAGGCGTTTCAACAGAATATTGTCATCCTTTTCAGGACCAACCAACTCCATCAGATGCAAATCTCCATCACAGCCGCCAGCAGTCACCCAGGGGCGCATCTTATGACCGGTGGTACAAATTCAAAGGAAGCTATGACCTTTGACCTCTGAAAGCCAA